GAGAGTATATATATCATATATATATATATATATATATATATATATATATATTTGGAATAGTTAAATCTTATATATAAATAATAAGCCCCAAATATTTCAAAACTTTGTCGCCAGACTCCACACATGTCACTGCACACAACCAACCATACATACATACAACCAACCATACATACATGCATACATAATGTATGTTCTTCTATCATCGCCCATATTTTCAATACATATATGCATATGGCGGTATATACATGAAATATAGGATCTGCACACACCCATATATATATATATATGTATGATGAGTTCGTGTATGTAATCAAGAGAAAGGGAGACATCATGGTAAGAAGAAACTGTCAAAGGTTTCTGAAGAAGCTTCCTCAATGAAACTATCATCAACGGCCAAAACATGGAAGTGGTATATTATTCTTCTTGTTTGGTTTCTGGTTCTATCTCTATTCTCTTTCGACAATGAGATAGAGAAAGAGAGAATGAGACAGAGAGTTGATGTTTGAGCTTGAGAATCTTGGTTTCTCATAGGTCAACTAAGTTTAGGTTTTTCGCATCTCTCGGAAATAATGAAACACAACATAGCACAAAACCAAAAAATGTTGTGTTATGTATCTTGACTATGAACTCTCGGTTGCTACACAGATAACATCCGTTACTGATTGAGCTGTAGATGCAACGATCAGAGACAGTCTTCCGAAACCCTATGAATGAATGAACAATCGAATTAGAGAAAACTGGAATCCGCTAACACCTCATATCATCACCGAAATCAACCGCAAAAAGTATCCAAATCACCTCAGACGTGACGGAGGAGACATCACCTTGCTGATTGTTGTTTCATCGGTCACATGACGTACTTGCCTCATATGAAGAAGCTCTCCGTGTTCGTCGCAGAAGCCTCCAGCTTCGACCGCATGTAGATATCCTCTGGTGAGTGGTGTACCTCCGCTGCCGCGCTTCTCCGATGCTCTAAAATCTGATTCTTCCTCGCGACAGCAAAGAATACAACGATTCGGCCCGAAGATCGCCCAACTAGCCAGTCTATCCATAGTCGGTAATCGCCTGTGAAAAATCTGCCAAACTAAGAATGCATGTCGCAGAATGCATTTCTTAAATCACACCAGGTTATGCCATTCAACAATAGTCCCTGGAGTGCGACAAAGCTCCCATGTCCGTTTCGTTTTAAAACTAGGCCTGTAATCAACATCCGTACATCGCCACAAACATGTGTCCGGTCCTACATCATGCCTCGGTGGATCAGTCTGTAATAAGAGGATGTGAAGTTGTTGGATGCGGTCGTTCTGCGCACCCGGCAAACTCCAGCTTCCGTCCCGTATTGCATCTGCCACCGTGGCCATTTTAGATATCCGCAACAGTCGAGGACCAGCTGAGCCAATGAAATCAATCAGCGGCCCGAGAGGCAGCCAACTATCATACCAAAAAGATGTCTTCTTTCCATCTCCCAGGTTAATCTTAGTGAAAGGCCTTACCATAACCTTCAATCGTAGCAATTTCTTCAAGTTCCATGTAATAGTTGTTGTCTCCTTCACTTCCCAGTAAGTTTTGCCTTTGAAAACATTGTGTCGAATCCACGCAACCCATAGAGACCCCGCCTTAGTAAGCAGTAACAAGACAAACTTAAGACGGAAGACAACATGTGTCTCCTCAATCATTCTTATCCCAACTCCTCCTTCCTTCTTAGGCTTGCATATTACTGTCCATGAAACTCGATAGCTGGGTGAGTGATCCCATGCATGTTGCCAGATAAACCTAGAGCATAGGCTATCAATCTCTTTTAATATAAATTTAAGCAACACAAAGGTCATGCTCCAAGCATTGATCATCCCATAAATGACAGAGATGACAAGCTGAATTTCCCGCTGCAGAAAGAAATCTGTTTAGCCAACTATCTATCTTCGCTTTTACCCTGTCTAGGAGAGGAGCAAAGTCAACCTTGCTGAGTCTAACCGGACTGAGGGGAACCCCAAGATATCTTACGGGTAGTGAGCTAAGAGCAATGCCAACCGAAGAGGACATGTTCTCCTTTTCGACCACATTCATGCCGGAGAGGAATAACTCAGATTTCTCGGGGTTAATTTGCAGTCCCGTTTTTACACTGAACTCCTGTAGCACTTTTCTTACCTCCATCAATGACTGTATGTCCCCCTGGCAGAATGTAACAACCCAGTTTTCAGAAAAAAAAAACTCAGACCGTCCGTTCTAGAGAGACCGGAACGGACGGACCACGACCACACTGGAATGGACAGACCAGTCCGGAACGGAACGGACAGACTCGAGCGTGGGCAGCGACAAAAGTCGCGATATTCGCCCGGGTCCAACCTGAAAGCGACGTTTACCCACCTATGGTCGACCAAAAACCCGATTTTTCAACCATATGGGCCCTAAACTCAATTAATTCGCTCTGAATCCGGAAATTTTGTCACAAATCGTCCAAATCCGAGTTTTTCCCTTAAGCATTCTCTCTCCCCATTCTCTCTCAGTTCAACCCCGAAATTCTCTGTCAAAACCAAAGGATTCACACCCAAATCGGTTCCTGCTGAGCAATAGGAGCGTCCCCAAGCTTCCTATCCGACACCCAGAACACGAGGTTAACCCGAGGTGAGTGAATTCGAGTTTAATTCGGGGGTTTTGGGTTTTGAGTGATTTCGTGTAAAATTGATGTTTGATTCGTGTTCTCCATGAAAATTTATGAGTTCTAGTGTATTATCCATAGTGAATCATGCATGTTTGAGTGATTTTGATGAACTCCGAGGACTAGAACGTCCGGTCTGAGGTCAGACCGTCCGTTCTAGGTCTGCAGGAGAAAACTCGAAGTCTAGAGGTTGAAGACGAAGTCCAGACCGTCCGTTCTGGACAGTCCGGAACGTCCGTTCCGCACTAGCCAGACCGTCCGGTCTGAGTGAAGCGGAACGTCCGTTCCGCACTAGCCAGACCGTCCGGAACCTTAAAATTTCACCATGTGAAAAATTGAAAAACTTGATAAGACGGACCTAGTATTACCCCGGCTCAAATTGTGAAAAAGTGAAAAATATAAAATATACCGGAAATACGGGACAGACCGGATCCCACGTAGTCTGGACCCAAAATGAATAACAGATAAGGTTAAAAACCACGGAATGAATCGAACTGGTTATCCGGGCGGACCGGGACCAGCTAGGTCATACCGGAGGTACAATTCGGTAATACCAATGGAAAGACTCAAAGAAAATATATAAACAATATAAAAGACTACGCAAGCGAAAATGCATGTATAGTAGATAAATTATATAAATGCATGTGACTGGGGTAGATGGCATGGCACTAGCGTTAATTCGTAAGGGTTCGGATTAACGTTTAGCGCGTGATTGTAGAAACGGGCGTTTGTGAATGAATGCACGATGATTGCGAGATTGCGTTCCATCTATGGGCTATCCGATCCGGGTCGGATGTCACCCATATGGATTATGATTGTGAATGTGGAGATGAGATGATCGCGCCAACGTCCGAACGATAGGACGGTTATGGGCACCCCGATGACCTGCGTATATAGCCGATTGTAGTCGGTACTATTGCGCGATGAGGAACATACGGTTCTTGGAACCGCGCCAACGTTTCCATTAGCGACGGAGCGGACCCCGGGATATGAGTATCCCGAGGATGAGGGCATCATATACCTGAGATTCGGGTAGATTGGAGTCTCCCGAGGAGGTGGTACGGACTTACGCTGCCAGGTTCGGACCCAAACCTCACAAGTATTTCCGCGGCGGATGGTCGGCGAGGGGGAGTGCAGCGACCGGAGTAATATATATTTATACTGGATCCGGGTGATTGTGGAGTAGATGGATTACGAGGAGAGAGATGGTTGTGCTATGCACATGAGGAATATATTACCTACGCATGGTTCACATAGAGACGATTTGACGGACTCTGTCCTGCGACTTATTGTACGGACTTGATTGTGATTGCTGCATGCTTATCGTGATTCCATGCTTCATTTCCTGTTTATTAGTATACTAGTATATATATATATATATATATATATATATATATATATATATGTATTTGTTTTTCCTGGCATCATGAGAATGGAACTCCGGGTTACGCCTGAGTTCACTCTCTAAGCAATTAGCTTAGGACGTTGTTACGCAACGTTTCAGGTCGTGAGCAGCAGTAGCCGAGGAGCCGACATCGGAGACCTGGGCAGTGTACCACTATCGATCATGTATATTTACGTATTTTGATACATTTATATTTTTGGGGAACGTTTTGTATTATATCGGTGGTAGACTTTTAAGGCTTGTAATAAAGTTATACTACCACTTGAAATTATGTACCATATATGTATGTACGAGTGTTTCTTCCGCTAACTCTGAAAAGAAAAGTTTTAAATTCCCGCGGATATTTGGAAATCGAGTCTTTATTTTAGTTGTCCATATGACGCAACTCGTATTTCGGGATACGGGTTTCGGGATACGGGTTTCGGGCGTTACACAGAAGATCATGACATCATCAGCGAAGGAGAGATGCGTGATCAGCGGGTTCTGGCATTTGTAGTTCAGATTCAGCTTGCCTTCCTGCGCCGATCGGTTAAGCATACTCATCAATAATTCCATAGCCATAATAAACAAATAAGGAGATAATGGATCTCCTTGGCTTAGTCCTCTCCTCCCTTTAAACATGCCAATTGATCTATAATTTAATAAGACAACCATGAGGTAAGATGTTACAAAATTGGCCATATCCTACTACACAATCATATGCCTTTAGCCTAAACAGCCTACCTCTAATGTACGTAAATATATACACAATTGAAATAAGACTTGATGACGTGGTGGTGTCGAGGAAAAATACGGACCGGGGGCTGCGTTGTTCGTCGGCGATAAGTGGTAAATATTGAGAGTATTTGAGTCTTTGGTCCGACACCTGTACATTTAATTATTTAACATAAATTAAATGCAAACAAACTAGGGTTGTGACAAAAGGTAATCCTACCCATTTGGTTGGAATCATTTGGATTATGTGAATTAATTGACCCAACCCATTATTAATATGATAAAAACTATATTCAAAGTGAAGTATATATAATTTTGGTGTTTTTAATGAATTATTGGCAATTGAAACGAAGATTCTAAAGTCAAACCTTAAATTTGTTGACTGTGCCTTGGCCTATAACAGTTGCTGTTCTTGTATGTCGTGTTCCTTTGGTTGGTTCCACGTTGCGAGCGTTCAAGCGTAGAAGGGTTTGGCGGTGGTACCGGAGATCCGGTTGCGAGCCAGGGAAGACGAAACCCCCAGATCGAATTCGCAGGATGAGACTTTTGTTCTGTTGAAAGAGAAGATCCAGATTGAACTTGAGATGATGGGTTTATCAAATACACTAGCGGATGATTCCAAAACTTCCGAATACTCGGAAAAAGGTTGAGCAAATTTGTGTAAGAAATCTGCTGCAAGAAGGACAGTGCCGCAAGGTCAAGACTCTTCCAGATCTATTGAGAAGGAATAAAGAATCAAAATTATGAAAGCAAGGTTGAAAGATGCAAAACGATCGAGGAAAACCTGGACATTTTTCAGAGGATCCTTTCGGACCTTTGCAACTTATAAGTTCGGGTGGAGGAAGAATATCAGGCAATCTGTCTATTAATCTCTCTTCCCCCGCCTCATGAACAACTCTGGGAAGTTGTCAAATATTCGGGAACATCGATAACTCTAGAAGAAGTAAATGCTGCAATAAGATCCAAGGAGCTTGAATTCATGGCTCATGGAAAAGGAACTATGAACACTACATAAGCGCTATCGACTAGAGGAAGACTTGAGAAGAGGGAAAACGATGGAAACAAGAAATTTAGATCGAGATCTAAGTCGAAAACCAAATTTGACTGTCGGAACAGCGGCAACAAAGGTCAATACAAAAAAGATTGCCACTCTAGAAAGAGAGATCTGAACAACAAAGGAGAGGCAATGGTGGTAAGAACAAAAACACCACGGATTGAGAGCCATATAACAGACGTCACAGAGGCTCTGTCAATAACCGGAAAAACTAGGGTGCACGAGTCACATGACACCAAGAAATGACAGGTATCCTGCAATTATGGAAGAGTTAGAATAGGAATAACTCTACTTGCTGCATAGAAGGAATTGGAAACATCAAGACACATACACATTGTTGGAGATGGCGGAGTTATGAAGTCTCTGTCTCGGTCAGAGGCTTCTGGTTCGGTTTTGAGAAAACAAGATATTTCTCTTGGTTTACTAACATTGGCAGGCAAACCAGATCGGTTTTTCATTAAAACCCTTTTCCAAACAGATCTGCACCAAAAAGGAGAGAGTTTTTGTACTTCGACAAGAAAGAGGAGAAGAACAAGAGAGAGAGAGAGCTACCAAATCAATTAGATGCCATTTCATAACAATAATCACTGCCAACTACAAAGATATGTAAAACCGTGAGAAGAAAGACAGATGAAAAATCCTACATATAACCACTACATGCGCTTTTTATTGAATCTGTCTTCTGCTGCTGTTCAGTCCTGTTTTCTTTCGTAAAGAAGCAAATACCAAAAATAAAAGTTGCAACAACAGAACTTTCACCATGTTAGTTGCAACTCAAAACTCATACATACCTTTACAGCTTGTGCTTGTGCTTGTGCTTGTGCTTGTTCTTCTTCTTCTTCTTCTTCTTTCTGTGTTTGACATAATCCTCACTTGTTTCATAAGATTCCTTCGACTCATTTAGATACATAAAGATAACAGCAATATGGCTATTGACCCCTGCAATGGCGGCATCTCAGAGACACTGCAGAAAAACAAGAGAAAACTAAAAAAGTTTCCGATAATATGCCCATCCTCAAATTATGTAAACCAACCCATCATTATTCAACAATCAATCTTTTGGCACTAGAGAAGGGGGAAAGTTCATTCAATGGGGAAAGTTTCCGATGGTCACTGTGACTGTTCTAAATAATCTCATAACTCTACTCTTGTACGGCTCTAGATAATCTTCTCATTTACCTGCAGCAATTTCCGCAATGCATGTAACGTCGAAACTAAAACCCATCATATAAACATGGGGTTAATTGATGATAACATAACTAACCAGTAACCACAAGACTATTAGTCCTGAGATGCAGATTTTGATATCTCGGCCATTATGTGAATATACTAATTAACAAATTAAAATGAATTATGGAGAATATGTCGAGCGATGAAAATTTAAACAGTTAAACAAGCCTAAAGCCAGATAATATGACCGTTCCAAGTTTAAACCAGTAAATTTGTTCAACTGTGAAGTTTAGATATGTAAGAACCTTAAACGTGAACATGTTACATAGCATCAGAATCTCAGAGTACAGATCCAGAAAATTTTTAAGCAGTCACCGATGGAAAACAGAAGAAACCATAAACCCACAAATCAACGCCAATCTCTCCACTTCAGATATTAAGAAACCTTTAGCAAGAACACTTCCAACATCTCATAATCTTCTCGTTCACCTGCAAGCAATTTCCACGATTGATTAACCGAATAATTTAGAAAAACTGAATTTAAAAAGAAAAAACTGCTAGGATCAAGGCCACGGTGCATTTAACGTCCAAACTAAAACCCATCATGTAAATATATTAGTCCTGAGATGCACATTTTGATATCTCGACCATTATGTGAATTACGGAGAATATGTCGAGCGATGAAAATTTAAACAGCTAAAAAGTCCTAAACTCAGAACATAAGAAGAACACACCTCGTTGCCACACGACTTCCATGACTGAAAGAAACCTCCGCGTTACAGCTCACCGAGAAAGAAGATCCAAAAAACTTTTCTCCAATCTCCCGTCCAATAACATATCAACAACCATTTCCATTGTTGAAACATCCGAAGAAAAACCATGGCTTCGCATTTCTCGAATCAACTCGATAACTGGTGTTACATGGCCACCTTTGAGATGACCTCGGATCAGTACATTATACGTACAATCATCCGGCATACAACCAACCTCTTTCATATTCCTAAACAGCTTGTCGGCTTCACCGAGTATACCTTTTCCACAAAATCCAGTAATCATTGTATTGTACGTGTTTACGTTCGGTTCAATCCCTTTATCAGAAAGTTTATTAAACAATCCAAGTGCCTCATCAACCTTGTCACCTTTGCACAAGCCATGCATCATAACACTATGGACAAAGATATTGAGGTCAATCCCACTCGTTTCCAACTCGCAATATAGTTCAAGTGCCTCGTCCAGTTTTCCATTCTTACAAAGACCATCAAGCACTACCGTGCAAGTTACAAGATCAGGATCCACACCCTGTATCTGCATCTCTGAAAATAGTTACGATTGGCTCTCTCGTTATAGTCGATGGCGTCGGTTGTAGCCGACGTCAGGTGAACTCCGGTATTGAGAGGTGACATCAATGCCGGAGCGGGGACACGCCTAGCATCGAGAGGTGACATCGATGCTAGGGTGGGGAGATGTGTTCGGGCGGAGAAAATAAAAAGATACTTATGCCGGATTCTGAGTGGTTGAGGAGTAGATGGATTCCGAGGAGAGAGGTGGTTGTGCTATGCACATGGGGAGTACTTACCTACGCATGGTGCGCGTAGAGACGATTTGACGGACTCTGTCCTGCGACTTGTCGTACGGCCGACTTGTCGTACGGACTTGATTGTGATTGCTGCGTGCTTACAGTGATTCATGTTTTCAATTCCCGTTTATTAGAATATTAGTATATACACACATATATATATATGTTTGTGCTTTCCCTGGCACCATGAGAATGGAACTCCGGGTTACGCCCGAGTTCACTCTCTAAGCAATTAGCTTAGGACGTTGTTACGCAACGTTTCAGGTCGTGAGCAGCAGTAGTCGAGGAGCGGACATCGAAGACTGTGGTGACCTGCCGTGTGATCATGTATAATTATTCTCTACGGTACATTTACGTTTTCGGGGAACGGTTTGTGTTATATCGGTGGTAGACTTTTATGGTTTGTAATAATGTGATACTACCACTGTGTATGTATAATTATAACTGGAATAATGTACCGTATATGTATGTAAGAAAGTTTCTTCCGCTGAACTCCAAAAATAAAAGTTTAAATTCCCGCGGATTTTTTGGAAATGCGATTTTTATTTTAATTGTCCATGTGGCGCAACTCGTATTGCGGGATACGGGTTTCGGGTGTCACAATGGTGATTACAGCCTATATGATATTATTGTCAACTAATTACAGATATTATTGATGGGAATCTACGTGTTCCTAGCATGCGATCATATCGATCTAGGGTTTGGTTTACTAGGTTTCATGCAGCGGAAGAAAAATCTAAACCTAGTCAAACGTCACA